TAAAAAAAATAAAATTTCAGACAAAACCAAAACTAAATTTTATTATTGAGGATTTCCTTTAAAACAAATTAGTTGATTAGTCATTCAGGCAGCCCACAGCTCAATCTTAAATATGTAGCTTCATGTCCCTAACACATACACTTGAACACGTAGGTCATTTTGATTGAACTTATTTGTTTCCTTTTTTTTTTCTTCTCCCCTTGGAGTTCTAAGCTAGACTCCAGCTGAGACCTTAATTCATAGTGATTACTTCATCACTTACCCATCATTCTCTGCCTCACCGCCCTCTTACTCTACCTCCTAAGGTTCATGCCCAGGGTGGAGATTGTTCAAAAGCACAACACAGCTGCCCGACGCCTCTACATCCGCGGGCACAACGGCAAGATCTATCCGTACTTGGTGATGAATGACGCATGTCTGACAGAGTCCCGCAGAGAGGAGCGTGTGTTGCAACTCTTGCGGCTACTCAATCCCTGCCTGGAGAAGAGGAAAGAGACCACCAAGAGACACCTCTTTTTCACAGGTACTGCAGCAACCCCAGATCACACAGAAATGTTCACGTTCCCCTGAAATAGCACTGACTACATCTATTTATGTCAGTCTTTTGGACAAGACCTTCCATTTTCATGACCAATAAATTTTCAAGTCTATTTCTAAAATAAGTAATGAACCCGCACACTATCAATACTTGCTAATTCTTAAACTTTATTTATCACACGCAACGTTTCGGTCCACCGACCTTCATCAGGCAAATGTGCCGAAATGACCGAAACATTGCGTGTGATAAATAAAGTTTAAGAATTAGCAAGTATTGATAGTGTGCGGGTTCGTTACTTATTTTTGATTCAACTGTTTGTTTGATTTTGTTCCCATGCACCTATCGTCGTTTCAGGTGTGCTGATTTTACGTTGATTAAGCCTATTTCTAAAAAAAGTAAAAATCATATTAAATGATTTGTAAAACATTATAAAGAATAAAATATAAATACATTATGTATATATATATATATATGTAAAAAATTAAATTTAGAATAAAAAAATCGTTCCATTCTCTAGTTAAGTCTATTTTTAATTGTGGCATGCATGTGTTCCGAGCTGCCCCATTTGAATGCTGTCCATTTGCTCTGAGTGCTGGATTCAATGGCCTAGTTGCTCTCAGACAGATTGGGGGAGATGGAGAATAGAGGAGAAGAAAAAGAGGCAAGATTGTAAAGTACCAGAAAATCTGTGTAGTGGTAACAGAAGAAGAAAGAGAGGGGACTGGAGCAGAATGAATAAAAATGAGGTTGCTCTTCTCCCTGTGGAGACTGAGGGAGGAAGATCTAAATGGTCTTTCTTGTGATAGACACATTAAAGATGAAACCATATCAGTTCAGAGGTCAAGGGTGCCACATTTTAGCTTTCGCTGAAACATTTTGTCTGTTCTCTTTTTTTTACTGCAAAGAAAAGAGGCTGATTTTATGCTGCAGTGCAATTAATAATCATTAAGTAACATTAGGGATGTTTGTGTACGTGTTCTATTTTTATCATTCATTAATGCCTTTCACTGAAGTTATTTATTAGATGTGTGTGAGAGGCTCCCAGTGGTCGTGTGACATGCTTTTCTTTTTACTCCCTCACAGGTGTTTTTGGGGCCTCTCTCAGCTGTTAATGTGTCTTGTTTAAAAATGACTATGTTAATAAAATTATTGTATAAACGGGGATAAAATGTTTAGAAGTATTTTAGGTGATGAGGTCGTATTTCAGGTTAACAGCCTTTTATCAAAGCCAAATAGAATCTATAAGATGCTTTTCAAAGAGAATTTTTAGAATATCAGCTGAAATAGTCAGTGGGATTTGTGTAGAGTAGAGTACATCCTCTTTAAATCTGTTCTCTTCTCAGTCCCAAGGGTGGTGGCGGTGTCTCCTCAAATGCGGTTAGTGGAGGACAATCCATCGTCTCTGTCTCTGGTGGAAATCTACAAGCAGCGTTGTGCTAAGAAGGGCATTGAGCATGACAACCCTATTTCCCGCTATTATGACCGACTTGCGACTGTTCAGGCTAGAGGAACCCAAGCCAGCCATCAGGTATGCTAGAAATAATATGAGAAAGCATATCAAGAAAAATTTATTTTACAAAAATTGAATATCATGAAATGGCCAAGGTGAAGTTTTTTAAATATATACTCTTGTTATTTTTTTTCTCCATATTTATATTTATGTGTCATTTTTGCTTTTAATTTTGGGGGGAAATTAACTGGGCATTTACCCTAATATGCAGTAGAGTAAATGAACCAATAAAATATATATTTTTGTCCATGTTTTAAGGTCCTGCGAGACATTCTGAAGGAGGTCCAGGGCAACATGGTTCCTCGTAGCATGTTGAAGGAGTGGGCGCTGCACACCTTCCCCAACGCCACAGACTACTGGACCTTCCGCAAAATGTTCACCATCCAGCTTGCTCTTATCGGCCTGGCTGAGTTCATGCTGCACCTGAACCGTCTCAACCCGGAGATGCTGCAGATCGCACAGGTACCCGAATGACTTGACGTCGTGGAACTAATACTAGCCCTCTTTCATCAAATATACATGTATCCAAGTCCAAAGCAGTTTGTTGGGTTATCACACATTTCAGTTTTTGATGGCCACTCTCCAGCTGTCTTTATGATTCTTTGTCCTCTAGTACAGTATCGGGTGAGTGCAGGTCCATAGAGTCTTTTATTATAAATGATTGTCAAACGAGTAACTCGTCCTGTGATTCTAATCTGCAGTTTTCTGACAGGCAGAGGAATGGGCGGCTAAGTGGGTATAGTAAGCCCCCTTGCTGCCGGTTCCACTCTACAGATCTCATTAGGCACTAGGAGATTACCACGGCAGGCAGAGAGGACAAGCAGATATGTGCTGTCTTTGTCTCTCTCTCTCAAAAACGCACTCACAAACCATCATGCATTTCCCTGGTGTATCACTTCCAGTCCGTTTGACTTCAGATATCGAGTTTGGTCCTGTGCAGGCTTTAAATATTGAGCTTGAATCCTGTTTTAACACTGTTATTGTGCTTGGAGGAGCTTAACAATATTTGAGTGACATTTCATCATTATTAAACTAATAAAAATCTTGTAGACAACTACAGAATCCCTGATCTCGCCTAAAACACTAGAAATTAGGGGTGTAACAGTACACGTATTCATACCAAAAATTTTCGGTACGGGTTTGGTACGCATGTACCAAGAACAAATACAGCATTGTTTCAACCACTGCATGAGTGAAACTTCTTGTAAATTTCCAGTTTTATATATTGTTACTTTTGATAAGAAATAAAGTCTCATCTTTAAAATTGTCCATTTTTTTTAAGGAAATTCAAACAAAAAATGCAGTTTTGACGCTCTTTGATGTGGTGTGACAGATCGCTGTTTAAACACCTCAAACGACACCTCAGAGCAATCAGTTCTTCTTTACTAGTAGTTTTAATGCGAAATAAACATAAATGAACATCTCATGCCTCATGTAATTGCTCAATCTGTGTTTCAACCATGGAAAGACGTCAAAACAAAATGTCACGTAGGGTTTCATTTACCTCAGGCCATCAGTGTCCACAGCTCGTTACTTCGCTAGAGAAATGAAGTCTAGAGAAGAGCATTTGGCGAAATATTAGACTATATACTCATATTTTACTTAACCTGTTAGTGATGTCTTAGTTATTTAATGTATGTTTTAAAAAACTGTTCTGAAACAAGTTATGACAGCCACTGTGTAAATGAATATATTTCAACAACAAATAGAAATTTTATAATTTAGAATTTAATTTAAAACTGCATTTTGCAATTTTGCATACAAATTTTTTTATGTTCAGTGTTGATTATTATGTTTAAAAATAAATAGTAATTAAATTTAAGTTCAGGATCTGTTGTTAATTGTAACCTATAGTAATGTAAAAGGGCTCCCTATAGTTTAGAGCATAAGCTGAGGTCGATTTTTTTATCCCTAAGAAAATTTGAATTATAATTGAATTTATTTCAAGAAAGAGCAATTTGTTCAGTAAACCACTGTTTAGCAATTTTATTTTTAGTTTTTTTCACCATGCTGTACCGTGAAGTCAAAACCTAGGTACGTACCGAACCGTCATGTTTGTGTACCGTTACACCCCTACTGGAAATGGTAATCTTGAAAACATTATTGTTATTTGAAATACTTCATTGGTAAAAAACGACGCTCTACATCAAGGGCATCAGAAGGCAAATGGAAGATTATATTTGTTCGTATGCTGAAATGCTGACACAGACCACAGTGGGTGTAGGATCAATACATCCTCACATTTTTGTGGTCGGATGTCTACAACGCTATCCAGTTTTCCCAGAGTGCTATAGATTAGCTGTTGTCTGATGTTGGTCCCACTTGAGTCCCACATGAGCAAACAGGCTCCTTTCCCAAATGTGATTTTGCTTTGTTTCTCTGAATGGAAACTAACAACTTGGCGCCACATGATACTCCCTCTCTCAAAGTTTGATACGTCTGCATACTGTAGTTTCTGGATGACAAGGTCAGATTTTCAAAGTTGAATTAGTTAACACCATCCTGATGTGTTGTTCCCCCAACAGGACACTGGAAAACTCAATGTATCGTACTTCCGCTTTGATATTAATGATGCCACTGGTGATTTGGATGCCAACCGGCCCGTCCCGTTCAGGCTGACGCCCAATATCTCAGAGTTCCTGACCACAATCGGCGTATCTGGACCCCTCACGGCTTCTATGATAGCGGTAGCACGCTGCTTTGCTCAGCCTAACTTCAAGGTACGCTTTGAGGAATGAGAATAATGACAAATGAGACTCTGCACTTTCAGTCTCCAGGGCTCTTGACCCACTCTAAACCTGTGTCTCCTCTCAATCAGGTCGATGGCATCTTGAAAGCTGTTCTTAGGGATGAGATCATCGCATGGCATAAGAAGACGCAGGAGGACACATCCATGCCTCTGTCCCCAGCTGGACAACCTGAGAACATGGACAGCCAACAGCTGGTGTCTCTGGTCCAGAAAGCTGTGACCGCCATCATGACCCGCCTCCACAACTTGGCCCAGTTCGAGGGTGGTGAGAGTAAAGTAAACACGCTAGTGGCAGCTGCCAACAGCTTGGACAACCTGTGCCGCATGGACCCCGCCTGGCACCCTTGGTTGTAGACAGGCATGTATAGAAACAAACTCTGGCAGATCACTGAGAAATGCGATACTGTGAAAGTGAATGTCAGAGTTGATGAGTTTGTCCCACGAGTTTAAAAAACATCATGTGTTGAGTTAACAATCGAAAGGGGTTATATAATAATGCACAAACTGTAATTTAAAAAAGAACAGGATAATACTTAAGATCTTTAGTATTCACTGTTATTCACAGGTAAGAGATACATGCAGCAATTAAAAGCAGCTTTGTTTGGTTGGAGAGGGACTATTGTTTAACTGATGAGCTTAGTAAGGTGCTTTTGTTGAGACTGTCGTGTTTGCTAAAGTGTGACGGTACAAGACAGCCTTTAAGAAAATACTGTTTCTGCAGCCTTTTTTTGGCTCCACACTGGAAGAGGGCGCAGCAGCTATCCCAGCAGATTTTATGCAACTTCCATCAAGCTCTCCTTTTACGCCTCCGCCATTCTCTCTGACTGACGGCAGCCTTTTCAATTTAGTAATCTAATTTACATGAATCAACACTCGGCAATGTTCAGCATGCTGTTACGTGTCAGTATGTCATTATTTAAAGTTATATGTGGGCATATTTTTTTTTACCCTTGTACATCATGTAAAAATGACATTGCATCTCTTAATTGGTGTGTACTTTTCTACAGGTTTGTGCAGTTTAAAGCCGTCATGTGTTATTGTCAATCATAGATTTTTGTTTTTTTGCAAAATACTCTGAAAAGGCAAAGACCTGTGAGCCTTAAGACAGGGGTAGCTCTATATTTAGCTCATTTTTAGTTAATCATAGCACATACAGTTGTTACAGCTCAGTTTTTCAACTTTGCCTTTTTAGGAGTGTCCCAAAGCATTTGTATCTCACTGATACACCTAAAAGCATTTTTGTATACATTCTCCTCTTTTGTAAAGGTACATAATATTGTGACAACCTATGGATAGTTACCTCTGCAATGTAAATATGCATTTTGTTTTAATAAAATGCTCTTTTTCAAGAAACAAATGGTGTTTTCATAAAAATGGTAGCCCTGCATGGTTAAATGTGACGTGTCTCTCTGTGGGTGGTTGATTGAAGACCTCTTTCAGAAAGAATAACCTTGTCTCTTGCTGATTGATACAATAGAGGACCTGAGTGAGAGCATGCCGTGGAGCCGTTTGGGCAGGTCAGATCTCAGTCTGCTTTTCCTTTATTACACCCCGCCAGTATATCTCACCAAGAGCCGTCTTCTCTGAGTTACACATGCTGTCAGCGCTGGCTTCAATCCCATAAACCATCGCTTCACCCTGTATGCTTGCACAGCGCAGGTGCTTATCCTCCTTTCTCTGATCTCTCTCCAGCCTATTTCTAACATCAGTCAGGGACCGTACGCTCCCACCTTTGTCCTTTTTTTGAGGTTTTTTGCTACCAAACAGTCCTGGGGGCTGATGTACAACTGCAATGTCTGAACATGAAAGAGCTGCGATATTTAACTCTGAATGTGAGAGATGTGTCAGGTTCTTGCTGTGGCTCGGAAGCCCCCGCTCCCTGCTGCATTGCCCGTTGATGTCTAGACTGATAGCAGGAGGATGTGGGCAAACTGATTGATGGAAACCCTCAGGGAGAGCTGTGATTGGCAGACACATGGAGGACAAACAAACCACCGTTTCTTCTGCCAGCACATTGATGGAGTGAAGAAAATTTTCCTTGATGACCTCATCTATCTGCTAAAATTTTGAGTGATGTTCACGAGTCAAAAATTAATTTGGAGTAATATTATTTAATTTAAATTTTCAGTTATTAACCTTAAAGGTGAAGTGTTTAGATGTGTTTTTTTTTTTTTAAGTTAAATTCAGTTGTTGATTAGATAGAGACAGGATGTGGTTTAAACAGACTAAGTAATTGGAGAAGTTCAGCATACATCACCAGAGAGAAGTTTGTTGTTTTAATGGAAAATTGAGTTATGGTAATTTTAGTAAAAAAAAATATTATTAAAATTTTTAAAAAAAATTTCAGACAGACTTATTTCTGTTTTTACCCATTGCGGTTTTTTATTTATTGATTGATTTATTTATTTTTTGCTGTGATGTATGAAAATAACTTATTGATAATATATTGGGACTAATTTGGCCAAATTTTAGAATGGAAGTATGTCCAATTTAATCATTCATGCCATAGGGTGCGCGCTATAATTCCAGCTAACACCAGTCAGTGAAGAAAATTTTCCTTGATGACCTCATCTATCTGCTAAAATTTTGAGTGATGTTCACGAGTCAAAAATTAATTTGGAGTAATATTATTTAATTTAAATTTTCAGTTATTAACCTTAAAGGTGAAGTGTTTAGATGTGTTTTTTTTTTTTTAAGTTAAATTCAGTTGTTGATTAGATAGAGACAGGATGTGGTTTAAACAGACTAAGTAATTGGAGAAGTTCAGCATACATCACCAGAGAGAAGTTTGTTGTTTTAATGGAAAATTGAGTTATGGTAATTTTAGTAAAAAAAAAAATTATTTAAATTTAAAAAAAAAATTTCAGACAGACTTATTTCTGTTTTTACCCATTGCGGTTTTTTATTTATTGATTTATTTATTTATTTTTTGCTGTGATGTATGAAAATAACTTATTGATAATATATTGGGACTAATTTGGCCAAATTTTAGAATGGAAGTATGTCCAATTTAATCATTCATGCCATAGGGTGTCCGCTATAATTCCAGCTAACACCAGTTGGAGTTGGTTTTACCCAAGGTTACTTGGCAAGTCCAATTATTTTTGAATTCAACTAGACAGTTACAGACCCCTTTCAGTCATTGGTGTGAAATCACAATATCCAAATAAATGAATTTTGAAGGGTCTTAGAGATTGTGACCTTGCTTCCTATTATGAGCTGACAGCTGCAGGCTTACGATAAAATATATGGGTACTAAACACTAAGCTGACATGAGCAAATGTGTCCGGAGGATGTGTCACCTATAAACCACAAACATAACCTTTTTTTTTTTTCACACCCTAGACAAATTACAGCATTCTGTGTGAGTCTTATCCTCGATCTAAACGAGTGTGCCTTGAACCGAAGAAAATGTCATTTAACGCCTCTACACAGGATTTGAATTGGGATTGTTTTTGCTGAATAGCAGAATTCTCATACAGTTGAGCAACCGCTATATTCTGCTGTTGCAAATTAATGGCAAAAGTTTTCAAGGTGATGCTCTGTGGCGCATTACCAGGTAAAAGTCATTTGAAGGAGCGCCACGTGCTAGTACCGGGAACAGTTGAGCTGATCGAGAATGGGATATAGTCCTGTGATGCCCTTGGGCACCAACCCATTTGGAGGACCCCTCTTGAAAAATATCCAAAAAACAAGACAAAAAGTTGTAAATACGAGGAGATTCATGAGAAACTCAGCTCTGTCTGTAGTAGGGCTGTCCAATCCTGCTCCTGGAGGGCCACTTTCCTGCAGAGTTCAGCTTTAACCCTGTAACCATGAAGACCTAGATTAGCTGGTTTTAGATGTTTAATTAGTGTTCGAACTAAACTCTTCAGGAAGGCAGCCTTCCAGGAGCAGGACTGGACAACCTTGATATACTGTAGACAAGAACTCAGGTAATTTCTTATATATTCAATTTTACATCTCAATTAGCTTGTTAGCAATTAGCAAGGAGGCCCTGGGCATTTTGCCCCATTAGTATGGTCCGTAATTTGTCCCTAGAGCTTATGTAGAGTTAAGATGTTAGTATTTGAGATTCAAGTCCATTGCAGTAACATTAATTCATTCTTTAACCAAGAACTACAATTTGGTTTCACTGACCAGCTGCTTGGAGAGGTACATAAGGTGTCATTTTGTTTGGCGAGGCTAAACGATGCACTGCAAAGCTCTGAAATGAACCTCTGCTGAAGTATTAGCTTCATTACCTGAACTTTCCCAGCGCTCCTCCTGAGATCATTCTCTGCAGTTCCTCTGTCTTCGGGTGCTTGTCAGAAACACTTCACGTCCTAAACCAATTAACCAAGCTCTTCTCCGAGTGCCCTGATCTCCTGGCAGGCTGGGAGGAGAGGCTGTTGTGCGTCTGACAGGAGCTCCCCCCGCTTCTCCTCCCAGTTCGCTGATTTAATTTGTTTGGTAATATGAGGATTGGCATGTTCAGCCCAGATTCACTGCAAAGTGAAATTGGACAAGGGCATTGGAGCTTCAAAATGTAAAACTGTCTCACCTTGACAGCTGGCTGAGTGGACTGTGGATTGCCTGCAGAGATATCTGAAAGGACCACACACCAATCATTCTGCCTCCATTGTAAGGATTCATGAGACGACATCATGAAGCCATAAACATATGTAGGGAGGAATATAAAGACACTTTGTAAATCTCTAGATCATTTTGGTGGTTGAGCAGTGAACTTTCCCCAAATTGTCCAATACATACTACCTTCTTGTCCATCTGTCCTTTGGTAAAGTAATCTACTGTGTTTACTTGTTCCTCCATAAATATGTTTAGATGGAGGAATGCTGACACTACAGCTCAAGAAGATAATCAACTTACTCTTTCCAAATGTCAGTGAACATTACTTGAGTTGATTCCAGCCCGTCAGGTCCTCTAAGCTTCATCATAGATCATGTAACTTTGACTGACGTTAATGGATTCTTGTGGGAATTTTCATAATGGTGAGTATTTAAAGTTAATGTGTGTATTTTTTTTTATTTAAATACTTTCGCCTGTCCCAACTTAAAATTTAATAACAACAATAATAATAAATGATTCGTTGGAAGTTTTATTTCCCCAGAAAGTGTAAACCGTGGCGCTGTTTGTTTGAGCATCCTGACCAGCCCAGTGCCAACCAATGGTGTGATTGTGGGGCGGGGCTATCAGTTAGATTGACCAATAGCAAATGGGAGTATTCAGCTCTTTATTGAAAATAATCATTCTCTTTTAAATTGTTGTTTGGTGTCACTAAAAGCACAAATGATACACTTCACAGTTTCTTTTTTTGTGTGTGTGTTTATATATCCTATTCAAAAAAAGAAGTTTGGACATATTGAGGGGCTTGTCTTTTTTATTTTTTTAAATCGCTAACAGGCTTAAGTTACATCACAGCTATGAATCATGATTTTCTACTTGCTAGTCAGGGAAGTGAGATTCTCATTCTAGAGAGCATTTGATTGGATGAAAATCTGTGTAGTGCAGGATGAGTCATCAATATTCATGGTTCGTTTTCATGGAGGAGAAAGACTGAATGTTTAGGAGCATATACACTAGCATATAAAGCATATATAACACAAGGACAAAGCAACACAGTGAACTGATATGGTAAC